AAGTCATTATCGTCTGAAGAGATGGTAATGAGTTTTAAATCTAACTGTGAACATCAATACTAAGATTCAGGTAAATTTTACTGTCCAGTCAAATTGTATAAAAAGCTTGTCCAGGATATAATTAAGATTTACTAACCTAAAAATTAATGATCATCCTAATTATTACTTTGCTTTTGGTCTAATACATGAAAGAGAAGTAAAAGTGCAAAACATATTCGAAATTCTAAGGAAAAACATACCCGTTATATGAATAGGTTTACAGTCCATTATCAGGACTTATTGTTTCTATGTTAATGATGCATTACATAAAACACGTTGAAGTTTTATAGTAGCAGTATGATTGACTGAAGTAATTAGTAAATTCTAGCAATGATTATAACTACCAGTTAATATTTGATAAGAAAATGATCCATCTGGTACATTCAATCCGAAAAAAGTTTAACAGTTTAAGTTATCACTTGATCAGTAACGTCAATATTTCATTGAGTTTATAGATTTAAAACAAATTAGAAAGCGCTGATTGAATTTAAAACTTGAAAGAATATTAAGACATGGTTCGATCTTCTGTAAATATTGATTAACGTACATATATTTATATCCAGCTTACATACTGCGCATATCTTATGAGCTTAACTTCTTTACGATGATCCTGTACTAGCTAAATGATACTGTTTACAAATCATATGACCGTTATACACTATATATGTAAACCTAAAGTCAAGGTATTTTTAAGATATGAATATATTAAAAAGTAAATCCCCTGAAGTTCCATAACCAAAAAATAGTTGCATATGAACTTCAAAGAAGCTTATATTAGTTGGTTAGATTTATAAAACCGTATACTATCATAAACTTCATCAATAAAAAAATAGGAGAAACTGTTTTTGGACAGTAGCTGGCAATATAATTCAGAACATGGTTTTCCTTCTATTTTGAAATACTTGTTTTTCAATTTTGATATGTCCCAGCGAAACTGGGTCTGACAGTAGTACTTACTATTCAAAATAAAGTCAGACAGTGTAATAACGTTCGTTCAACAAGATCATCCAGAAATAGCGACTTATCGCTCCTATCTTGAATAACCATTAAGAGGCAATAAAACTTCAACTAATAATTATATATAACTTTAAAAGCATGGTTTATTGATTTACCCATGTACCAAGTACAGATTTATGTTATTTTATTTTATTTCAACACATAGATAATGGTACAAAGAGGCACCAAATACATATGCGACACACAAATCTCATTCGATATGAATGAGGGCTGTGATACTGCCTGGGTGCCCAAACCGAAGCACGTGGTTTTCTTGGGGGGCCACTCCTCGAGCCTTCGACCTGAAGTTCTGATCCACAAGGCAGTGGAGCATCGTCAGGAGATGCAGTCCGATGAAAGCTAGTGACCAACAATTGGTTCATACGCCATTTGTTTCTTCAGGATACTGGAGCCCATGTGCAACATTGATTTGGTTTGGGATCCGGTTAAAGCGCCGGACATTCGTTTTTCACCTCTCATTTTCACAAACAACACCTCCGCCATGAGAAGACAGTGAGTAGGACTTCCCTGGCAGAGGCTATATACCCGTGGCCATGTGAGAGCATTTCGAGAGGAAGAGCGGACTCTCCCCACTCTCGGCCGTACCAGGGCATTTGGGGGCTATGTACTCAGCTTTGAGCCACACTAATTGTATAATGTATAGCAATACTACCCGGATGCTGATATCCGAGTAGGTGAACAGAGTTTCTAATCGGGGACCTACTAGTTGAAAGCTAAGTGCTTAAAGCAATGAGCTACTATCGCTCTATTTATGTAAAAGTATACAAACATCTAAAATGTCTATCTGAAACGGTGATAATATTATCTACTTCTAATGGAGATTTAAAAACTGAATATTAATTTGCACATAACTAGTTCAAAACTATTAATAATACTTGAATCTCTGCCCATTAGTCTTGTACATAATGAACAGATATAATTTAAAAACGTTAGAAAAACAAACTGAAGTGTGGAAATAGTGGACGTTAACCAGTACCTAAATACGTACCCAACTTGAAAATATAATAAATACATATTTCAACCCCTAAATATTGCCGATCATTGTATCTGTATTTTTTCCAACTATTTATAGATAAAGTATGATGAAGTTAGCGAACCTGAAATGGGATTTGCTTTTGAGATAACGATATCTGTCGAGAATTTTTTAAAAAAGTGAAGCACGAAATAAATTTTGTATCTAGATAATGTATTTGACTTTATCTGTTTTCATTAAACACAAATGGCGTTGCACTAATAACATAAATTTCACAGATTGAAATCATGAGTCAGTTGAAGCTAGACCACCATTGAAAACCTGGAAGCACTGGACGGCCGTTTCGTCCTAGTATGGGACTCCTCAGCAGTGCGCATCCACGATCCCGCACCACGCGGGGCTCGAACCCAGGACCTACTGGCTTCGCGCGCGAGCACTTAACCATTAGACCACCGAGCCGGCATCCAACGGTGTTAATGTCTAACTTCAACCAATCCACGAAGTTGCGCCACCGTACACCATTGTCTTCAGTGAGTTCCTATCTCACAACAGACCTGGTTGAACTCCACTGGTAACGGCTTCTCACTAAACTTCGGGAGTTTTTCCTGAAGTAAGTCACTAGTGAGCAATTGATTATTTTTATCAGAATGGGTTTTGTGGAGATTTTAGAAATTTCACAGATTGAAATCATGAGTCAGTTGAAGCTAGACCACCATTGAAAACCTGGAAGCACTGGACGGCCGTTTCGTCCTAGTATGGGACTCCTCAGCAGTGCGCATCCACGATCCCGCACCACGCGGGGCTCGAACCCAGGACCTACTGGCTTCGCGCGCGAGCACTTAACCATTAGACCACTGAGCCGGCATCCAACGGTGTTAATGTCTAGCTTCAACTGACGCATGATTTCAATCTGTGAAATTTCTAAAATCTCCGCAAAACCGATTCTGATAAAAATAATCAATTGCTCACTAGTGACTTACTTCAGGAAAAACTCCCGAAGTTCTAGTGAGAAGCCGTTACCAGTGGAGTTCAACCAGGTCTGTTGTGAGATAGGAACTCACTGAAGACAATGGTGTACGGTGGCGCAACTTCGTGGATTGGTTGAAGTTAGACATTAACACCGTTGGATGCCGGCTCGGTGGTCTAATGGTTAAGTGCTCGCGCGCGAAGCCAGTAGGTCCTGGGTTCGAGCCCCGCGTGGTGCGGGATCGTGGATGCGCACTGCTGAGGAGTCCCATACTAGGACGAAACGGCCGTCCAGTGCTTCCAGGTTTTCAATGGTGGTCTAGCTTCAACTGACTCATGATTTCAATCTGTGAAATTTCTAAAATCTCCACAAAACCCATTCTGATAAAAATAATCAATTGCTCACTAGTGACTTACTTCAGGAAAAACTCCCGAAGTTCTAGTGAGAAGCCGTTACCAGTGGAGTTCAACCAGGTCTGTTGTGAGATAGGAACTCACTGAAGACAATGGTGTACGGTGGCGCAACTTCGTGGATTGGTTGAAGTTAGACATTAACACCGTTGGATGCCGGCTCGGTGGTCTAATGGTTAAGTGCTCGCGCGCGAAGCCAGTAGGTCCTGGGTTCGAGCCCCGCGTGGTGCGGGATCGTGGATGCGCACTGCTGAGGAGTCCCATACTAGGACGAAACGGCCGTCCAGTGCTTCCAGGTTTTCAATGGTGGTCTAGCTTCAACTGACTCATGATTTCAATCTGTGAAATTTCTAAAATCTCCACAAAACCCATTCTGATAAAAATAATCAATTGCTCACTAGTGACTTACTTCAGGAAAAACTCCCGAAGTTCTAGTGAGAAGCCGTTACCAGTGGAGTTCAACCAGGTCTGTTGTGAGATAGGAACTCACTGAAGACAATGGTGTACGGTGGCGCAACTTCGTGGATTGGTTGAAGTTAGACATTAACACCGTTGGATGCCGGCTCGGTGGTCTAATGGTTAAGTGCTCGCGCGCGAAGCCAGTAGGTCCTGGGTTCGAGCCCCGCGTGGTGCGGGATCGTGGATGCGCACTGCTGAGGAGTCCCATACTAGGACGAAACGGCCGTCCAGTGCTTCCAGGTTTTCAATGGTGGTCTAGCTTCAACTGACTCATGATTTCAATCTGTGAAATTTCTAAAATCTCCACAAAACCCATTCTGATAAAAATAACATAAATGAAATATATTGAAAATAAATAAAATCTAGTAGACGCATTATTTAAATGTTGAGACAATATTAATCCTGAAATTTGCGCCTAGATAAACATTTCATTGGTATTTCTTTCTTTTATGAAGAATAGTTTATTACTTCATTGAGCTACACGTTTTAACCATGATTAATTACTATGAATAGCGAACGACAGATGTATACAAATTTATTACCGAATTTGATGTAGCACAATAGGATTACCACATGACATTGGATTTAGCGTTGGGTTTAACATTTTCAATCACAGCTCACATAATTTAAATCAATAATTATCATCAGTTTTTCTGATGTTTGCACAATCCATACTGACAATTATCACGTGCTCACTAGTGACCAGCTTCGAGAGGAATTTACGGAGTCCCAGTGAGAAGCTATGATCAATGGAGCTAAGCGGTGTAGGGTGTAAGGAAGACATCCATGGAATAAAATGGAAGATGGTAGCGCAATATAGTGGATTGATTGAAGTTAGACTTTTACAGCATGAGATCGCAGTCTGATGGTCTAGAACCTAAGGATTCGCGTACGAGGATGAAGGCCCTGGGTTCGATCCCAGGTTATAGGGTGATAAACGCGCATTGTTGAGGGATATAATATTAGGAAGAAATGGTCATCCATTCGTTTCAGGCTTTCAACAGCTGTTTAACTTTGATCATTTCACGATTTGAATAAAATTCAACCATTTCCATAACCCATACTGTGAACTATGTTTACCGGTTAAAAACACGAAAATATTAAGATCAAAGAATCATGGTATAACTTTGCTTACCATTTCATAGATGTACATAAATTTGGAAGGTGGGTTCTGAACAGAAATAGTACAAACAAAAAAATTGTCAATAACAAGGCATATTAATTAACAGCATAAGTTTTTCCTATCAATATAATCAGTGATGGTGATATGTAAAAATTTAATTCTCAACCAACAATAAAATTATTTACCAATGACGTATTATCTTTTTTATTTCGTAGTAAGTAATGTATCGTGAAGTAAATAAAAAAATTATATTATTCATCAAATTAGACACCAGCGAAACCGTTTTCTACGATATCATTTTCTTAGGCTGCTCAATCGTATTCCGAGATACTTTTTATACGTACTATTTAATAGTAAAATAGAGGAGTGTTACACATATAAAAAATAATCGAACTTCGGTAAGGGGTTGCAGAGACTGATGAATTTCACTGAAACCATAAACCATCTAATTTAGACCACCACTGAAAACCTGGAAGCACTGGACAGCCATTTGGTCCTAGTTTGGGGATCCTCAAAAGTGCACATTCACGATTCCGCATGAGAGACTCCAGCCCAGAGTGTCTACTAAATTTCATTCAAACCACCATCACTTGTTTATTCTGAGTACATTATTGAGGACAGAGAATGAGATTGAAGTTCTCCTTTTATCCAGCGGCATTCAACTGTGTAAGTTCGTATACTACCGTTTAACTATGTTCGAGAATTTTTGAAACACTTTATAAACAGGATGTACTAGACGGCTCAGTGGTCTAAAGGTTAGGCGTTCACACTCGCTACAATATGTCTAGGGTCCGATCAACGGTGGTTCGTGGATGCACATTACTCAGAAGGTCGAAATTAGGATAAAACTGCCATCTAGTTCTAGAACTAATCTCCATAAAAGCCCTATATTAATAAGAATAATATTTATCAAATGGCAGAGGATTAATTAAAGTACAAGTTCATATAGGTAAGTAACAGCCCTTGTAATACTAACGTAATACTAAGTTGCAAATTAATGGATGTGCGATTTAAATAGAGTCATATTAGAACCTGACAGAAAGAATTTGATTATCTTTCAACATCACATAGAAAGACCATAGTAATTACCCAGTGATTATTAAACGCTGAGACCACAATTTTCGAAGGACATACGAGCGACGCTCAAATGACCATGAGGTGTCCAACTACTTGATAGGGCTACAGCAAGGTTACATATCACTGTGAGGAATTGTACGATTGATGTTTAAGGTTCGAAATTAGATTAAACGTATTCATCACGAAATGGCATCCACTAAAATACCAAAATACTAATTGACCAAATGGATGAATAAATTTCACGAAAAAATCGACCCATTATCTTAAATCTGATGGGTTCGGCCATAAATCATAATCTTGCCTAATTAACCAAAAAAATCTTAGCTTTACGAGATTAGCTGCACCCTGAATACTTTGGTAAAAATGTCGTTGACTATGATGCTGAGCGATAGTGATACTTATTCCATGGAAAAACACTTACTTGAGTACCGTAGATGCGATTTAAATCGCATCCAGTAGTTTCTGTCTATTACCTCTAGTCACCGAATCTATAAAAACTGCTTTGACGTGACTGAGCACGTCCAAGTATTAAGTATTTCTGATTTCATCTTAAAATGCAACGCAGAATTTATCACCTCAATGTAAACTGATTGTTTGAGTGTTTCCAAAATTACTTAAATGAATAACAATCTATCACTCATGAGTAGTACATCTGACATTAATAAACCATATATATTCAATATTTTATTAGTAGAGATGGTTTAACTAAAGATACACCAACGATGTAAAAATTATTATCCTGTACATTAGCTATTAAGGTTGTATAATTATCACTTTATTGAATCAATGTACTGAGTGTTATATGCATACATTTTAGAATTCCACACTACATATGATGAATAGATTAGATATATCTTAACTCAAATTACAAAATAATTAAACTGACCAAAGAAGACAATTGATAATAATCATCGTATTAAATTTAAACAGCTACACCCAGTGTTCGCTTTGATGGTTTATGTAGAAAATTTTATCATAAAAATAGTTTTTGTTACAGACTAGAATTAACTGTGGCATTAATGAGAAACACAGACCACTGGTTATTTTGCTTTGGCTAGGGACTGCTAAACAATGTGAATTTACCAACCTACAGATTTTCTGATTTCGTAGTGCGTATGATACTCTAAGGCGACTTTGTAACGATTCAATGGTCCAGTTTTTAATCCAGTGTAGAGTTGTGAGTACAAGCTAGAATGGAACATCTATCTGATGTACTCTGCTTCTCATTAATGCTTCAAGTGACGCCGATCTTCTATCTTTGAATCGAAAATATTTTCGGAAAATGCAGAAATATAGTTATGAAATGATTATTTTTCTTTCGTTTATTTAAGAAAAAATAACAAAACTAACCGATCCATTATCTTCTGTGAATAAATATCTTCATTAATTATTGATTTATTATTGATTTTTCCCCTTGCGATATTATTATAAATATCATTATTCTTGGGGATAGTGCTTCTTTCAATAAGACGATAATATAATAAACCGAATGAGGATATAGCCAATATGAACAATGACCACAAGATACAACATGTGATCAAAATGATAGTAGCTAATAAGTAATACCATACATTTGAAATGGAAAAAAGTTTATGAGGAAATAGATCAATAGTTAAAGTTTAACTATATAGTACCAAATATTTTTTTATTATAATGAACAATAAACCATACCACTGATTCTGTATCAACGATGGGAATGGTTTTTGTAGCTTAATAGTATTGTCAGAGACATTTAAGTTAAATAATTGTTATAATTAGGGCAATATGAATCTAGTTGCGTTACTAATAAGTTTTCAATTGGTCACACTTCTGAACATCAAACACAACATGTTGTGACATGTGGTGATGAAATAACTGGTGGAAAGATTAATTAACGAGCTTATACGACATGTACACACTATTATATCTGTTGTCTTATTTGTTTCACTACGTTATATAAAATATATTCAAGACTATGTAAGTAGCTGTATGGTAATAAGATTAAGAAGTAGATTATTGAAAATGGTTTTAATTGTGACAATTGGGTGATCAAGGTCTGATCTCCAAGATACACATAACCTTTCTTACGATTGAGGATAAATTTTGCTTACGAATGCCAAATGTCGTAAAAAGCTGATAAATGTGTCTGTCTGTTTTCTGCTTACTTCGCCAAGATATTTCAATCAATATATTTTACAGTGTAACAACGAATTAACGTACTTATAAAGTGATTATTTTATTACTGATATACAAACGTACTGTCAGACAGTGTACGTCCATGGATTATTTTCGACGTGGTATATCCATATTTCGTGTAAGTACGTAATTGTATACTAACAAAAGAAAAGAAAAGAATTAAATATGCATGAGATGAGTCGTATACAAACTATTGATGATAGCCAAGAAGCAAAGAACAGTTTATTTCTCTTGATTTAGGACCTCTTAACAAAATTTATTGATAAGTACACAAGAAATTGAACAAAATGCCATCAAATACGCAAGTAAGCGAACAAATAAAAATCATAATTTCGTCAATACAAAGGATTGAATTATCTGGCTACCTGTCAAAATTGAATTGTTGTTTATGAAATGTAGTTTAGTTGTGGACATGGTCCTCCTGTGTTGTTTGCCTAGACGAAGAAAGAGTTGACAGATGATGTCAAATAGATTTCAAACTTTTGCTGAAATTATGAGAAATACTACCCATAAACAAATTTTTGATATGGACTGTGCTCACGCAGAAATATCAATACTGAATATTACCTCAAGTTTGAAAATTTAACATAACAAGGCCAGAAATTCAAGAACGACTTCTTGTTACAGGGAACATTATTTGATTAGTTGTCCACGAGCTCAGATATTATTACACTTGTTTCTAGACGGGATATGCCAAAGTCTTGATACACACAGGAGTTTCCTTTGCGAAATAACAGTCAATTAAACTGCAACCATAATTCATAATAAAGTTAAACGACTTTACTTGTGATGTTAGGAATTATATTTAGTAAACTATTCGCTGGACGTTGACTGCTTTTCTTTATATTTGCAGCAATACGGAGAGATAGACCTGTATAGCTGATGGGAATAGGCGCTTGTAATATTTTAATCTCCAATACTTTTGGGTTTCGTAATGCAAGTGTATAATGCAATCCTTTTGCAGTCAACCGTCCCTGCCTTCCCTCAGGTGCCGAGGTCTTCATAATCCAGTCGACCACCAGAAGAAAGAGGGAGAGTAAGCAGCCTTGTCTGACTGCGGTCCTCACTTGGAATGCGTTTGTCAGCTGTCTTCCATGCACGACTTTGTCGTGAGGTCTGTCGTATGAATTTTGGATGATGTTGACTATCTTCTCAGGTACACCATAGTCTCGAACAAGTTTCTATAAGGTTCTCCTATCCACACTGTTAAACGCCTTCTCATAGTCCATGAAGTTGATGTATAGTGACGAGTTCCACTGAATTGATTGTTCAACGATGATCCTTAGTGTTGCGATTTGGTCTGTGCACGACCAGCCCTTACGGAATACAACCTGTGGATCTCGAAGTTGGGCGTCTACTGAATCGTTCATCCAGTTCAGTAACACTATTTTTTCTGGTGCCGACAGTAGTGTGATGCATCTGTGGTTTCCATATTTGTTCAGATCTCCTTTCTTTTCTTCCTTGATGAGATATTCTTCTTTCCAGTCTATCAGCACTTGTTCCTCCCCCAAGTCTTCCTGAATAGAATGTGGGGCATCTGTGCAGTGGCTTCTGTCTGAATTCAGTGCTTCAGCTGGTATGTTGTCAGGTTCTGCTGCTTTCCCACTCTCGATTTGTATGATGGTCATCCTGATTCATTCGATCGTTGGTGGAGTGACATTGATAGGAATGTCTGTAGGTGCTGCTTTGATATCCGGTAGATCCAATGGAACTAACCTATTTAAGAGTTCCTCAGTATTCTACCCATCTGTTTCTGTGTTCTTGAATGTCATTGATTGTCTTGATTTCTTCGTCTTTGACTGGTCTCTATGGTTTACTATATTTCCGTGCCAGTTTCTTCGTTATATCATATGGCCGTCTGATATTTCCATCTCTTGCGGCTTTTTTCGTTGTCCTTGCTAGGTTTTCCACGTATTTCTGCTTGTCAGCTCGAATTTACTTCTTCACTTGCTTGTTTGCTTCTGCGTGGGCCTTGAATTTCTCTGCTCGCGATCGACTACTGTTTGCTGCTGCCTTCTTGAATCTTATCCAAGGTTTCCATAGAGATATATTCCTTATCAAAATAGTTCTTGCGACCCAGAACCTTCTGAGATGTTGAATTTAGTCCTACGATTTTCCATATTATTATTTTTTCTATATATGACTGTAAATGGTTGAAACGAAGACTAAAGGTATATTTCAAGTTATCAAAATACTTCTTGCGATCCAGAATCTCCTGACATGTTAAAGTTATTGCTCCTTTGATACCATCCCAATTGTCCTTTATTGCAGTTTCTTCTTCCTTCAGTAGATCCTGTTGTTGAGGACTAACCTGAATTCGATGAGTTTGTCAGTATCTCGTAGGAAGGTTATGTTGAAACTTTCTACTGCTGTTCCTTCAGTTGATAGTTCTTCTTTAGTTCCAGTTCCATCTTGGCAACCACCAGGTGGTGATCTGAAGCTATATCGGTTCCTCTCCTGGTCATCAAGTCTTCCATAAATGCAAACGTGATCGATCTGATTCTCTGTGGTGTGATCCGGTAGGACCCATGTAGTTTTATGAGAGAATATTGTACCATTTACAACCAATTTATTGAATGCACATAGGTTTGGAAACATCCCACCATTCTCGTTTCGCTCTCCTAGTCCATGTCATCCCATGGTATCTTCGTATCCCATGTTTTCCATTCCGAATTTGGCGTTCAGGTCTCCATTCAGGATGGTCATATCTTTTGCTAGGCACTTCGCTATAACCGATTGCAGCCTCTCATAGAACTGTCCTTTATCGTCGTCGTTGTTATAATTGGTTGATGCATAATATTGGATAATATTCCTTGTGATTCCTTTCTTCTTTGTTTTGAATGATGTTTCGATGATCCTGGATCCGTGAAATATCCATCCAATAAGTGCTTTACGTGCCACTTTGGACAGCATCAGAACAACTGCCTTACTGTGTAGAGGATTTTTTCTTCGTGATCGGAGTACATTAGCCTCTCTCCCGTATCTAGCTTTCGCTGTCCAGCTTGGTTCCGATAGTTTTCCCTGATTACGAGAAACCCCAAGTTGCATCTATTCATATCAATTGCTGTTTGACTGATTCTCCCGGTCTTCCACATTGTCGGAACATTCCGTGTACCTATATTAATTGTTGCTCTGGTTGTCAGAAGGGTGATCGGCCTCGTGACTTCCGAAGAATATCGGCTTTCATCATGAGGGTTCATAATTCTTCTGAATGAAGATCCTTCAATTCCCACGGCAGAGTTTAAATTGTTTATTTTGGTTGTTGTTTGTTTAGCAAGGTTGTTTACTAGGAGATGGGGTTCCAGACCCTATTCCCAACCCTCTTCATTTACCTGGGTTTGCGACCGGCAGTAACTATAGAAGGGCTTCAGGTGGAGTTTCTTAGTGTTATGACGGTTAGCGTTTGATAATTGACACTCGCAGTAGGATTTGATTCTACTGGCACTCGAAACTAGATAACATACTATTGGTTACTATGTGGTGACTGAATATTATGTTATATATATCAGTAGTTACAGCACTACAATATATGTGCTGAATTGTAAATGATTGCACGTTAAACAAATGCGAAAAACGTTTTTAAAATGTAGTTGTACAAATCATATAGGGACATCATGTAATCGATTGCTAATATATGTAGTTTTGAATAAATGAATGTATAAAATGTTTCACTGATAGTTCCTAAAAACAGACCATGTGAAAGCTTATTGTGAAGGAAGCAACTTAAATAATCGATAGATAATATATTTGTAATATCCTAACAAGTAGGAAAATTAGATTTTCTGACGTTTGGTGACTCAGTGTAAGCCAGTTCTTCAGAGAATAGATAACCAAATCAAAATTTATTTAAGTTTAAATAGTAAAACGGAACAATAAGAATCTCTAGCATAAAATTGAATAAGATGTAACTAGCCAGATATTTTGGAATTTAATGTTTAATTAAGATAATTTCGAATAAATTGAGCATTGGGTTGATTGTTATAAATAAAAATAATATATTTGTAATATCCCAATGAGTAGAAAATTGGATTTTCTGACGTTTCGTGACTTAGTGTAAGTCACTTCTTCAGAGAATAAATAACCAAATTAAAATTAATCCAATATTACAAATATATTATTTTTGTTTAATTAAGAGTCTAACATATTAACCGGTATTTTATCTTGTATTAGCTAATTAGAGTAAAATGGGCACACTTACCTGAACTAAGGTTTGACAAGACGTAAACTATTCTTAGGTTTTTTGTGAACCACTATTAAAATCTTTATAGTTGTGATAACTTTACTGTATACTACTACCGATTTAAAATGGGTATAAATCATACAACTTCGATAAAGATTTCTGTTGGCCAAATACTTTTATATTTACCGATAAATATATTAGACGAAGGGATACTGTATAACACTTTTATAGAAATCAAAATTAATGACACTGACGTCGCTCTTCCCGTTTTTTGCTGATAATTAAAAACTAGGATGAAAAGAATAAATCCTATTTTGCCGTGTTTTATTTCAACTAAATAATAATATTTGTTCAGTCATGTAGTTGGTTCTAAGCAATACCTGTTTCATTACTGCACAACTCATTTATATGTTTTGGTGTAAATATACAAGACGAAAAAAACGCGAAATGGTGATATCTAAATACAAACGTTTTAAAACCATGCTTAATTTCTAGTAGAATTAAAACACAGCGTTTTTGTTCCTTGTTAGGTCCAAATACACCGGTCAATCTATCTATCAGCCATATATCACCGAACAAACTGACCTTACACTGGCAAAATCCACCACAACATCCAGCCTTTGATGTTCACTGTTTTTGGGTGTACAAACGTGAATCGATCCATCTGATGAGTGGGTTGGACGAGTACAGAATTTGTAATGTTTCGAATGAACTTATTTTGACATCACTGATACCGGGAAGACAATACACTTTGTATATGAGATCTGAGGATTCTGTGTATGGATTACATAGTGATGTGTCTAATGCTATAAGTGCAACAACCTATCCATCACGTAGGTCTTTTTCATACATCATTTTAAATGGTTTTTGCTATATCCGGACGAGAATAAATGAATGGTAATTATTTATGGACTAATATTATACGAATATTCTTATTGTATGACTATTAAGTAACTA